ATTCAAACACATGCAATGTGTGTTCAAGTTGCGTGAATCTCTTTGTAAGTCTTTGTAATTTTTCTCAGAGACATGCAAGTACAGACAAGTGTTGACATACAGCAGGGCTTTGCATGCCTGAATAGTCCAAGACAGCAGACTATACATGTCAGTCTAAACATATACAATATATTCAAACAATAAAGACAAGGAGGATAAGGAAAAAGTAGAGCAAAGAAGGCTGCTGATTCTCAGCTTTGACTTCCTGTCAGCGTGCAGAAACACGCAATACATGCAGAAAAGGAAACGGGACAGGGTGACGAGGAGCAGAAACACAGGAGGGGAGAGGAGGAGGAGGAGAAGGAGGAGAGGTGAAGTGAAGGAGTTTAGGAAAAGGAGGGGGAGAAAGTGACATGCAGATAAATGTAGTGCTGAACAGAAAGGTTAAAAGCCTCCGCTAGAGGAAAAACACACTCCTGAGACTGAAGTTTGCATCCAAGCCACAGACATTTAAATCAACAACGTAGTGAATACAAGCACCTATTACTATTTTCACTGGCCTGTCACCATGTTAGCGCCGTTGACTTTTACATACCTTTCTGTCTCTCCTGTCAACAGACAGTAAAATCTCCTGAATGACCTACTGTGAGATGCTACGAGGCAACGAGCCTGTTAGCATCGATGCTAAACTACATTTTACATTTAACTGAGTTTGCTGACAGTGAATTACAGTCAGTGGAAATGGGGACATCCTGAACATTCAAACGAGTGTTTAGCCTTAAGTCAACAATCTCACAAACCACCCGAAAGGGAAATCACTTATTTTTAGTTCTCAGTTCTTGTTTGATGCGTGATTTACTTTACTTTACTTTAATGGCAGATTAGCTTGGGTAAAAGACCAAAAGTTGAGGCCTAACAATGTGTGTCGCTGGTAAAGTTTCTGGGCTGCCTTTCCTCATAACATCCCTCAAGATTTTCTCCATTTGAAGCAATGAATTATCAGGGATTGTAACATCTAGTCCTTTTACTGAATCAGAATGTACTATATTTTCACTCAAATATAATAATAATTAGATGTTAATCTTTTACCCCAATGTGTTTTCAGTTTTGAATAGTCATTATTCACTTTTTTTTAATTTTATCAGCCACCAACCAAATACTTTGTCTTGGTTACAACTAATAACTAAAACTGTCAAAGTGCAGCCCTGAACTGAAATTACCCATCCAAGGTAGATTCCAGTCTATAATTATTCCCAGGATGTCAAATCCTGACATTTCGTCGATGCAGCTGGCGTGGGTAAATCGCGCACGGGATGTCCTTTGGCATCTGCGCCACAAAGCTTAATTTAGGCTTCTGTGTTGAATCTATGTAGAGCCTACGACGTAGCCTACACAAATGGCCGACGGCGTTGCCAAGATTTATATTTCTGTAGTGTGTGCCTGCGCTGCTCTCCAAGCGCAGTGCGCGACATGCCAACACACTAGTTGGCGGTGGGGTTTCTCTTTTTGAGTTCGTGCTTTCTCTTCCAGTCAGTTCGGGGGAAATGACTGAACAGGCCAGTCGTGCTTGCTGTGGGTTGCTTTGAAGTAACATACATTTCTAGGGAGGTGTATGTCAGGTTACTGCATAGGGTTTCGTGGTTCTGTGGGTTGTTTTAGCCTAGAAGTTCAAATCTCCTGCAATGCTCTGGGTTTTTGGCATTGATGTGATGGCTGTGTCTCTCCCAACTCTTCATTTTCCAGAGTGCAGGATTGCTGCTGTGCAGCAAGTGTACACTGTTTCCAGCACAAAACTATACTTTGCAAGCAGAAGATATCTGGGCATAGAAATATATGTTGGTGCAGTATATTAGTGATCTGCAAATAGGTAAGCACTAATCTAAATCAGTCTTCAGTTTAAGTGTTTAAATAAAAGATTGGCATTGCCAGAGGCAAAGAGAATTCTCAAGAAATGATGTCTTAATCACTGAGCAGTGTAGGATCATAGTACATACACTCACCAGACACTTTGAGTACACCTGCTCAACTAATCGCTAGCGCAGACGTCTAATCAGCCAGTCACCTAGCAGTATATCATTTAGACATATAGACATGGTCAAGAGGATCTGCTGAGCATGTGGTTGGCGCCAGGCAGGCTGGTCCAAGTGTTTCAGAAATTGCTGACCACATTTAGGATTAGCCGTGAACGGTCCAAAAAAGAAAAAATATCCAGTGAGCAGCCAACACGTTCTCACTCCCTAAGCGTAATATTTTATGCTAGGTGACAAATCATCAACATTTTACGCTTTCGGGTACCTAACACGTTCCTAAATGATGACGTCGGAAAAGGAGAACACATGAGAGGTGGAGCAGCAGTTCTCTGGGCAGAAATATCTTATTAATGTCGGAGGGCAGAGGAAAGCTGGCAGACAGTTTCAAGCTGATAAGAAGGCAGAATAACTGGCTGCCTGCTCTGATGAGTCTAGATGTCTGCTGCAACATTTGAAAGCATGGATCTGTCCTGCATTGGTCGAGCTGGTGTTGTTTTGGTGTGGTTGGTGTTTCCTTGGCAAACTTTGTCCCCATAGTACCAACTGAGCATTGTTTAAACACCACAGCCTACCTGAGTATTATTGCTGATCATGTCTATCACTTTATGACCAGTGTCTACCCATCATAACCCACCATGTCACAAAAGTCAGATCATCTCAAACTGGCCTCCACAGTCACCAGATCTCAATCCAACAGAGCACCTCTGAGATGTGGTGGAAGAGGAGAATCGCAGCATGAATGTGCAGTCAGCAAATCTGCAGCAGCTGTGTGATGCTATCGTGTCAATATGGAGCAAAATCTCTAAGGAATGTTTCCAGAACCTCGTTTGCAGAGAATTAAGGCAGTTCTGAAGGCAAACGTTGGTCCAACACAGTACTAGCACAGCGAACCTAACAAGTGTGAGATTTCAGACGCAGTAAACATGTTTCTGTCAGTCTTCTAGTGGTCAAAAAAAGTTTGTGGAGCTTTACATTTATTCTGTCTCTGTGTTGATGCACAGTTAAGTTTGTGTTAAAGTGCTGTGATGATTCTTGATATCAGTTTTTGCCTTTATGCTTTTGCACTGATGTGTCTGCATCATTCTGCCATCACAAGTCAAATTTAGCTGGAGCAGATAAATTGAGAACAAAAGCTACATTTATTGAAACGCAGCAAAGACAAAAAAATCATCAAAGAGGAAAAAAGACATGATCAGGAGAATATTAGCTGTGGCTTTAGTGTAATGAGTGAGGTAAATAGTATGTAAATGATCATTTCCTTATAATCTTGACTGAAAATGTAACCTTTTCACAGTCTCTGCCTTTTCTGTTGTAGATTAGCTGTGGAGAAATCCAGCTACTGCAACAATCTGGCTTGCTACCCGGCTTTATTTACAAGCTTGGCACACCCTTGAGGCCCACCTAATTGAACTCAACAAGTCCAAACACATTCTGCTGGACTGCTGAAAGCAGTTCTGAGAAACGTATGAAGCACATGAGGCAGATTAAAGAAAATCATCTTGGATTGCAGTCTCCTTTAGCTTACAGACAGTCGGTTTCTATACTGAAGGGTGACGGAGTAGTCTGGGTATTTATGGAGTGTAATATGGCAGGAAGCGGTGCATGGTGCCAATAGGAAGAGGGAGTTCCTCCAGAGATAGTCAGAAGAGACTGTTAACACATGCACACTGAGCTCCATATAGACTGACACCGTTCCTCACATACCTCGCTCTCAGTCCGACTGACTGCTGGCTGCTCCGCTTCCTAATCCCCTCTCTCTCTCGCTTTTTCACTCTTTCCCTCACACTCCTCCTCTTTCATTAGCATCTCCTTCTCCCCCTTCTCTTCACATCCTGCCAACTCACACTTCTCTCCTTCACTCGCTCATTCCCCTCGTCTGTCTGCTCTCCCTCTCCAGTTTCCCCTTACTCATGTTCTACTTCTTCTTCTCTCTCCATTACAGACTTGGCACAGGACTGCAAATAGGTCAAATATAACTCTCACATTCCTTTCTGCAGTCCCTCTTCCCCTCTGAGGACTGAATGTGGTCTCTCTTTGTCTTTTTCTTTCTTCACATTAAAAGTTTATTGAATATGACTCCACCGTCACTCTGCAGAAGACTTGACTTGCTTCTAATTAAAAGCTGGCTTTTTCCCCCCAACTTCCCACCACTTCATAAGTGTGCGAGTCTCTCCTGTGCACTTCATTATGCGGAGCAATAATTTATGGCAGTTCATTAGTGACAAAACTTTTGAAAGAGCTTAAAAGAAAATTCAAGTGGCCATCACAGCAGGATGAGAGTGTGTGTGGGACAGATTCATAATTCATGAGCATAAATTAAAATCTGAGCATCGGTTCTTGATTTGAAACACACTCTATCTTATGCTGTCCACACTAAATCAGATAATTTTTAAATGTCATTTAGGAAGTGGAAACAAAGCATTTTCTAGTCATAATGTTAAAAAACTTCATTCCACAGTGAAATAATGAAAGAGCTAAGTCATCTCTTAATCACAGCTGGCATTTGATCGGGAGACAGATTAGTCAGATTAGTCTGCCGGTTGGTGCACTGTTTGTTTCCCATGTTTTTTCTCTCTTTCATCGCGAGTACAACTCAGTGAGAACACCTTTGCTCAGACAGTTTCCTTTCCACGCCATAACAGGAAGCTGACATTTTAATTAATCTACTCTAATGACTTTTTTTATTGTTTATTTTTATAAGATTTTTTTTAAAATCACTACTAGAAAGTAGTCAGGAGTGATTAACTGGATTTAAATAGGTAGGCTACTTAAACCTGAAGGCCACCTGGTTGCCCCAGTCATGTTGAATAAGACAAAAACTCATTTTACCTCCATCGGATTTGGGTGGCAACATTTGTGTGGTGCTCTTACTTCATGTTGCCTCTCAACGCACAGCTGTGTTTTTGTGTAGTTTATCTGCATAGCCAATCTAATTAAAAGATATGTGTAAGTCTTATTTCATAGTGGAATCTTCATGTGCTTTCTCCCCAGCAAAGAGGGAGATGGCTACTTCTCTCGACGTCAATATCGAGGTAAGAAATCTCTCAAGCGATTACTCACACAATGCGACGGAACATCTTTGTTTTTATGTTCATGAAAGAGGTGGAAAGAGAACAAGGAAAATATCTTCTCTGGACAAAAAAGAAAAAGCACGTGCTTAGATTTTATTAGAGGTTGCAAGCCAGAAAGGTACATACTAAATGTGTAATCCAGTTTCTTTTATATGTTTTGTGTAAAATGGTAATCCTGTTAAATTATTGCAGTGAAACAGAGGAATAAAGTGGCAGAAAATAAAAATAACTAGATGAAAGTATTACTAGTACTGCACTGGTAATTAAATAATTTACTGTAATCCAGTTTTGAGGGGCTTGCGCTGACCTTGAGTATTTACATTTTTATTTCCTTCCATAACAGGAAATGCTCAGGTTCATTTATTTGGTATTTTAGCTTTTCACATGACATTTGTGACAGTAAGACCTTACATAGAAAACAAATAAAGTGCTCTGAATGTAAGCAGAAAACCGTGGTTTCAAATAACAGTTGGACTCACCATGATGTCATCTAGATGACTCTGAGTGTGGCCTTCCCACTAAACTCTCAGACTTTCAATGGCACTAATGCACGAAAAACACAAAATTAGAGATTGAATCAAACTGTTGTGAGGTCCTACTTCATTGGCAATCAGACATCTTTTATTCCCCACTGTGATAATAAAGTTGCAAAAAGATGACTGGAAACATTTCAGGCAAGGATCAAAGTTTTCTACTGAGCACTTTAATCATTTTGCAGATGGCGCTCTACTGTACTCTCAGTTAACAGTAGGATTTTTTTCTACTGGGTATTTTAAAAGCTTGGTGTGCTCACTTAAAGAATATGAAGTCTGCTTAAGTCAATACACTTTTAATCATTTAATATTTTATCAGCACCTATGCTCATATCTCTTTAAAACTTATTTTAAAACCATTCTTTTTAAAACTGCCATGAATTCTCACCTCTGAAAAACTGATCACTAATGAGACTGGTGTTTGCTTATAAATGCAATTCGTCACTCAGACGCTTTGAACTGGAGGTAAAGTTTGAAGGGAGGTGTCCTCCCTGAATTTCAAATGAGCCTGCAGCGTCCTCTGTGACCTCCCGTAGCCTAATAACAAGCTAATGGAAAGAGCTGTACCACCTCTCTTTCTTTCCTTCCTCTATACATTTGTTTTCCTTTTCAGAACCCCGCTCTCTCCTCCCCCTCAACCTTCCCCTTTTTGGCCCCTTCACTCACTCTTACTCATCTCTCTCCTCCACCTCCCCCGTTTCTTCCATGGCCTCACCTTCCTCTTTTTCCTCCTTTTCTGTCCTCTCGCCTTTCCCCCGGCACAGCAGCGTGTTAATCCCATTACACATGTGTGAATACCAACTGAGGGGGGAGAGAGGGAGAGAAGGGGGAGGCAGCGAACAGAGAGTGTTTGTGTCCGAGTGAGACTGAATGCATACGACTGTGTCTGCCTGATGCAGAACGCCCAGATGTGGAGTGATGTTTAACGTAACATAATTCAATGCACTATAATGGAGTGTAATGTAGGCGTTTTGCTGTGTCTGGTTCTAGGAATTCAGCTGAGAGGCAAAGTTGAGTTAGTATATTTTAATAGTCATTGATATTTAAAAGCTTACTTCATCTTAAGTTCCACTCACTCTGAGTAAAACCCAAACTCTGTACTTTATTCTGCAGCATATCATGTATAACACACCAGCAGAAACAAAGAGACCCAAACATCTGCACCTCATATCCACATCAATGCAATTGTGTTCTCTACAGAAAAGAAGAAGCAAAGAAACTCAAATGTTGCACAGAGCTTTATATGAATTTTTAAAGATCAAAGTTTCTAAAAAATACACAGTATGCCAAGGTGAATTCTGGAGAATGTAATCTACTGTATAAATTCATGCACAAATTCTGTGTTTTGTGCAGATAGAAACAAATGAATCTGACATTTTTAAAAAAGAACAAGGTCCACGTTTGCAAAGCTGGAAAAAGCTAGACTAGAAAAGCTGACAGACCTTGATTATTTTGTTCCAAGGTTCAAAATGAGTATTTTGTGTTTTATTCATCCTCGAGGTCCGTGATAAGCAATAGAACAGAACTGGGTGGACTATAATAAGATAAATTTTGCAGTTTGGTTTGTGCAATATGTCACACCAGAGCAGAGGTGACCATAAAGTCAAATTAACCTCCAATTTCTGTGAATTTGTAACTGATTTTTTTTGTAACTTTTAACAGAAAATGTGGTTTGACAAGGCCACAAGTAGAAATTATTGAACATGAAGCTGATGGAAGTCGTGTATGTGTGTTTTTGCTCACATTGTGCATTATTTAGATGTCTCATTGGGGGAAAAAATAACACACAGCTGCAACATGAACCCTTTTTCTAAACTCAGGATTTTTTTATTTTTATTTTTTTGGTCCTTTTCATTTTTAGGATAAATAGTCGATATATTTGGAAACTTGAAAGCGTATTCAGGTCCAACAACAGTTTACAAAGGCTTCTTTTCTGTTAAACTGTGCATTTAAATACACTCTACATTGTAACAGTGCATCGTAATTTATTATTCCCACAGTAAGTAAAATGTAAATCAGCATGACTGTCAGACTGTCATCTATCAAAGACATGCAGAAATGTGTGTTTTCACTACGTAAAATGGAAGTAAATTTACTTACAAGTTGTACGCGAATGACTAGCTTCTACTTTTTACCAAAGGAAAAGAAAATCAAAGTAGGCGTCACACCTAAGAAACTCTTGTTTTGACTCAATCTGAAATGAACCTTCTCCATGCCTACCACCTCTCGAGTGCTCAGGATGTTTAGCTGAGTGTGCTTCGAGTGATTCAAGTGTCTAAACCTTCTTTTTTTTCCGTGCTTGATGTGCTTGTTTTGGTTCTGAGATGGCCCAGCTCCTCTCGGTGAATTCAGGGCTGGTTGCTGGGCTGTCGGGGAGGCGATGAGGACGCAAGCTAGACAGTGCAGACAGGCCCAATGTGGCTCCTGAAGAGTTCAAGCGCCAAGAAAATAAACAAGCCTTTTGATCACAAAGGGCCCATTCACTCTCTCTCACTCTCTTTCTTTCTTTCACTCCCTCTCTCCCCCTTCCCCTCTACTTATCCTCGCTAGTTTCTCCTCTCCTGACCTCTATTTTTTTTATCCTCCTCTAAAAACCTCTCCTTGTGTCTTTCTTCCCTCCATTTTTTCTATCTTATCTGCAAATCCAGGACCGAGAGACGAGAGCTGCCGAGAGACAGACCTCCATAAAGAAAAGACAGACGCATCATCTGACCAGCCAGGGGGCAGACAGACAGACAGACACAGAGAAACACAGACAAGGGCCTCCTTATTCCACTAACATACTGTCATGGTGCAGAGCAGAGGAACACGACATGGAAAATGTCACTCCATCTTTAGTATTTAAAAAAAACCAAAAAAAAACAGGGACTCGGAGAAACTTTCCCCTCCAAACATTTTCTGCTGTCACGAACATGCTCGCTGCTTCATTTTTACTCCTCTACTGGGTGTGCTTGGCAGTGTTTTCTTATGCATGCAGATGGGCCGGTGTCAAAAGGCCTCTCCCTTTACAGTTCTGTTGTTGAGAGTGCGTGCTGATCACTCTGGGTGTGGCTCTGCTACCATTTGCCCCCTCAGGCCTGTTTTCCATTTTCAAAACAAGCTAGATTTCCTCAGATAGAAAACACTTGGCTCTGAAACAACAAATAAGGACGCGAACGGAGCTCCATGTTGGCAAATGGAACAAAAAAAATGCAAAAAGTAGGCGAAGGAAGAGCCTTTGTGTCTGAAATGGGTCGCAAACTTTACCTCATCGGCAGCGCGGGGTCATTAACACCTCTAATGCAGTGATAGTGACTCTGGTGATTAATTAGTCCCAATCACTCCACCTATTCACCCATATGTAGCGTCAGCTCTCCTGCTGGGCTTTTGTTGCCATTGCTTTTCACATGCAGTCGCGGTCTGCATCCCCCGACGAGGCCACCCTCGACACTGCCTGTTTCATCAACAAACTGCAGCCCAGGTCTAAACGCTCGTCACAGCTCACAGACTGAAATTCTGTGGAAGAAATACTCTTTCACAGACATTTGTTCTCAAAGTCTGTTTTACCTTCTTGTGCTTTTCAGCTGCTTTCTGCAACAAATGACTGAACTGTCCTTGAATTTCTTGCTTGGAGCTTTGCAGATACCCACCGACAGATTTGCATGTAGCATTTGGTAGACGGATACATTTTCCACGTTTATTTCCTTAGCCTTGATAAGAGGAGTAACCCCAGCATAGTAATTGTTTGTTTGAAGCTTGTTAAGGGCTTTGAAATATAATTATTCATAGTTTAACAGTTTTCAGCAGTGTACGAGAGCAACTCCTGAATAAATTTCCATCATTTCCATTTACAAAATGTATTATCTTTCTAATTAGACTCATTCATTAGGACCCATCCATCCATGCTTTTGCTTTAGGTTTTCGGGTTTGTTTGCAAAGGTAGGCAGAGTTGTTTGCTCGTGTGCAATCTTCCAACAGCACGTCCCCCAAACAGGGATGATGCTGTGTGTAGACTGAATCCCAAAATATTGCTTCTTTTCACCTGGATGTAGCATTTTCATTGGTGGAAGCTTCACCTTCACCCAACCCAGTACACTGTCTGTCCATCTCCATACCTTTGCACTAATCTGATGGTACTCTATATATAATGATTCTATCTCTTAAATAGATATAAGCAGTTTTCACTATTTTCTGGTCTCTGTTGAGAAAATAAAGTTCTCTTTTTTCACATGTACCACCTTAGAAAATTTCTCACCACTGGAAATACTCCACTTGGTTAAGGCGAGGGCAGGATACACCATGTCAGGTCGCTTACTGTGAATTCACCAAACCATTTCCTGCACTGGGGAGCTAGCAGGTTAAAGGATTTGTTGGAAATGTTTATCGGTTTCAAAGCTGCAGCTCATGTGTGAAAAGGCTTTGATGAAGATTAGAATCTGCTAAGTCACAGTGAGTGATGCCCACAGTGAGTATTTAAATTTTTCAGCACCTCTCATTCTCGAAGGTTCAAAGTGTGTAGCACACTAAAGAGCGAACACAAACTACAGATTTTTAACGAAGGAACGAAGGTTTGGTGGGAGGATGTATTTTGATTCATATGGCATGTTTCTTGCCGTGCAGTGGCCTCTCCCCACCTACACAGCTAAATGCATTCTGTGGTTTCTCAGGACTAAAAGCTCACTGGCAAAATGAGAAATAGTTGTTTTTGCATTATATTATAATTCACTTTTCCTTCCAGTAAGCAGGGCAGTTTCTTGTAAATCAAGACACACTGTTAGCTCTGCACAGGGATCTCAAAGCAAAATCTAACTGAATATTTGCTCCTCATTCAAAGGAACCCACGTGGATTCCTTGTTTTTGTGCCGCGCAAACCAGATGCAACAAGACTGTTCACGCTTCACCTTGTTTGTCTTGATGCGTCCTTGGGTTGAACAAAAGTTCAGCAGCAGCAGAGGAGACGCATTAAGCTAAGGGGCAAACTGAGGCGGAAACACTGTGTCATTATTAGGCCTTTCATCACAGCCGGCATTAGTAGAAAGAGCGCAGGTGTTATAAAACCCCCTCAGGATGTCGTGACAGCGAGTTGGACCTCAAATCAGTCAGCAAACATAAATGTTATTATTTACACCAGCTGTGACGTGTGAAAGCCTCACCTTATAAGGTGTTAATGTTTGCTTGTGTTTAACATGATTATTCTCAGAGACATTATTAGAGAAACACACACGGCACTAAAAGAAAGCAAGTGTGGTGTTAGAAGTACAACAGTGGAAAAACAGCCTTTTAACACATTCATTCAGTGGAAAAAACTGAAAATCTTTAAAGCGTTATTTAAATAAAATGAATATCCGCACATTAAAAACTCTCCGACTCTTATTCTCCAAAATACGACTTTAAAAAAATTCTTGTTTCTCACTGAAATTGAAACGTCTACGATCTTTGTCTAAATCTTAATTCAGGATTCTTTGAGTATCAGGTCTCCCTGTTTAACTGAGAATAACTCGCTATCTTGGCTCAACTCCAGTGATAAGGAATATTATATAAAAACAGATATACGCTCACCGGCCACTTCAACAGATACAAGGTTAAACTCCTTTTTGCCATAGATTCAAATAAGGTGCTACAAACTTTCTTTAGGGATTTCATTGCCAGGCGACATGTTAGCGTCGCACAGTCGGTGCAGATATGTTGGCTGCACATCAACGATTTTACTCGAGTTCCACCACATCACAAAGGTGGGCTACTGGATTGAGATCTGGTGATTGCGGAAGCCGTGTGAGTGAAGTGAAGTCAGTGTTGAGATTATTTGAGCCTCGTGACATGAAGTGGCTACATGGTCATTGTCAGCAACAATACTCAGGGAGGCTTTGACATTTAAACAATAATCACTTGGTACTAAGTGTGCCAAGAAACTCTCCACCACACCATTACAGCCCCACGCTGAACCATTGATACAAGGCAGGATGGATCCGTGTTGTTTACACTAAATTCTGGCACCACCATCTGAAAGTTGCAGCAGAAATAAAGACTCATCAGATCAGGCAAAGTGTTAATTGTAACTCCAGTTTCCTGTTCTTAGCTAATGGGAGTCAGTCCTTGTGTTTTCTTCTGCTGCTGTAACCCATCTGCTTAATAGTTCAGTGTGTTGTGCATCCAGAGATGCTCTTTTACACACCTTGGTTGTAACAAGTGTTCATTTGGGTTACTGTTGCCTTTCTCTCAGATTGAAAGCTATTTTTCAGATCGTTCTCTGCAAACCATGGAGATCGTTGTGAGGGAAAATCCCAGCAGATCAGCAGTTTCTGAAAAACTCAGACCATCACATTCAGAGTGACTTAAATAAGGTTTCTTCCTCATTTTAATGCTCAGGTTGAACTCCAAGAGGTCGTCTTGATCATGTTTACGTGTCAAAATGCATGCCACAGACTTGCCACCATATTTAATAAGCAGTTGAACAGGCCTACCCAGTGTGTGTTTTGGGGTTTTTATTTTTCATTTAACTACATACTGCACAACATTTCGAGATATGACAGGTTTTCAGCTAACAGTTGTCTGCGAATCACCTTGTTGCTGAAAAACTAGTATTTAAATCCTGTCAAACTGTCTTATCTTTGGCATCTGTCAGAGATTCAACTACATAAATGTGTTCCTGCAACGGGTGCTAGGAGAAAATGTAAAATTGGTTCTTTGTCAGGTGTCAAAATGTTCGGGCTAAAAGTGAAAAAGCAGCTAATGTCCAAAGTAAAACTCTGGAAGACCTTCAGAAAGCCTGGAGAACATTTCCTCGAGACCACTTTTAAAAACGATTAGAAGAAAGTCTGGCACCTTGGAAACAAAACGCAAACAAATGAGGGGGTGACTCCAGACTTTTTCACATTTCACTTTTTTTTTTTCTTCTTTTTTTTTTGTATGGGTGGCTACTTCAGTTTTTTGCATACAGTCTGCAGCTGGCGTTAGTGCGGGATCGTTCTCCTCATCTAACTCCTCACAAGAAAGTGACTCATCGTGGAGGGTTTTTGGGGGCGAAGGTGTTATGAAGCATCACATGGAAGTATTCAGGTAAAAAGATGATGATAATGATGAAGAAGACAAGAAGACAAGGAAGCAGAGAGCACTTGAAGGTGACGGGGAGGAAGAGGAGGTGGAGGCGGCGGAGGAGGAGGGGGGAACATGTAGGCAAAAGTAAAAGTTGATGAGGATGAAGAAGGAGGAGGATGGGGAAGTAAGTCTTAGGTGATGAGATGTTTTCTGTTGTACTGCTGATGTTATTGTGTGTGTGTGTGTGTGTGTGTGACAGTCACCCACAGGATGCCCTTCACGTCCCACACACTGCCACTCAGAGTAAATGAGCAGAGGAGGAACGGAGATGGATGGATGCACAAACGGATGGATGCGAGGAGAAGACAGTGGGATGGCTGATTGGCTGGAAATAAGGCAAAAGAAAAGACCCACACTTTTTGTCTCGCCACTTTATTTCCTTCCACCCGCTCCCTGCTCTCCAGTTCACGCTCTTGAGTAATTACTGCTCCTTTCTTTCAACTCCCTCTCCCTCTGCTGCCTCCTCAGAGCCGATGTAAGTGCTGAAGGGCCCTTCATTAGAGAGGAGGAAAAGAGTGTGGGAGAACAGTGTGTGTGGATGTGTGTTAAGTGTGGCTGTATGAGCCCATAATGCTAATAAGCGCCTGATGGGCTCCAGTTGATGTCCACTTATAATTACAGTCTATGTAAATTTCTCACCAGATCCCCGCGGGGGGGCGAAAAGAGCGCCTGTTGCTCGGCCCTTTCCTTCCTTCCCTGCGTGTATAAATAACGGATGGCGGCTCCCTGGCTGCCTCGCTGTCGCAGTTTACAGGTAAACACGGAACCTCTCATGACCCGCGGCGGTGATGGGTCTCCACAGCAACGCCGTGACGCGCCAACCGGGAGAGAGCGGGGCGACAAACTGGAGGCAGAGGCGGAAGCTCGGGGCAGCGATGAGCCGCGGTCCTCTGAGAAGATCGTCTATTAGCACGATGACTCACTCCACATCACCGTCAGCGTCATCTCCCTCTGTGATTCATCTCTGATTGCAGTTACATTAAAACAGAAATATTTATTCAACATTAAAATACGTCATAAGCGCAAATGGAGAATATCTGACGGAAATGTCTTCGGGTTGTTTTCTTGGTACTCAAACGCCACATTTCATTTAATATGTTTGGCTCCTTGGGCTTTGGGGCAAACAAAAACATGCGCTGTCAAACATGCGGCCTGCGGACCAAAGTGTGAGCATTTTAAATTCTCTTGAGGTGGGGTACCAGCATTAATATTACTATATTACTGTTGTTTTATTTCAAATAGTTGTATGTAATACATTATTTTAATGAGATATTTTAGATTTAACTTTGTTTCCCACTATAAAGCTTTGAATGTGTGATTTTTGCAGGCTGGGGAGTCCTGACCTACAGTCGCCAATGTGTGAGCTCTAGGTCTGACCGAAAGAATGAGCTCACAGATACAATCAGCGAGAATTAGCTTCCCCCAAGGGGTGGCTGGCTTCTCCCTTAGAGATAAGGGTGAAGAGTTCAGTCATTTGGGGGGGGGGACTCAGAGTACAGCTGAGGTGGTTCGGGCTTCTGACTAGGATCCCTCCTAGGCGTCTCCTGAGTGGGGTGTTCCAGGCATGTCCTACTGGGATGAGGCCCCGGGGCAGACGCAGGACATGCTGGAGAGATTATATCTCTCAGCTGTCCTGGGAACACCACGGTTTTCCCCTAGATAAGCTGGAGGAGGTGGCTGGGAAGAGGGAAGTCTGAGCTTCTCTGCCTAGCCTGCTGCCCCCCTGCAACCTGGACAAGCAGCAGAAAATGGATGGCTGAATGGATGGGTGAATGGGAACCTCTAAGATCAGGAGTAGCAGTGTACAATGGGGAAGACAATTACTCAGAAATAAAGATGCAGTATTGGATTCAAAATTTATTAAATAAATGAGGATATTATGTGTAAAGTTTAAATTTCCAGACTATAAAATTTCACTTGCTGAGCATTCCTGATTCTCGCATCTTCTCTCATCGTCCTGTCGTTCTTGCATCTTTCTCCCGCTCTCAGTGTCAGACAATAACATTTTTTTTTTTAAATGTATTCATTCATTTCTGTGATCTCAGAAAACGCTTTCCTGTTGAGTTGGCAGCATGTAGCAGCAGGTCTTAATTAAATACATTTTGTCAAATCCGGCCTCATTAGAGTTACAAGGGATGATAAAGCTGGGCCTGTTTTATGTTGGAGTTACCTTGTGAGTGAAAAGTCGCTGCTTTACATACTGACCCTCAGTTTTTAAGAACCACGCCTCAATCATCATCAAGTAGAAAGCTACAGCCTAAGGCTGCAAGATGTCATCGAAATATGGGTGACATTACAGTGGCCATATCCATGTTTGACATGCAGTCTAAGGTACTTAATCAAACACATTTAACCTCCTAAGACCCGAACTCTTTCATGGCATGCATTTTTTTATTTTATTTGCTATTTGCGCTGATTGGGACCTGATAAATGTAAAAACAAAGAATTTTGTGGGGTTTTTTTGTTTTTGTTTTGTTTTTCCTGATTGTTGTTTCTAAGAAAAATGAGATCCATATGAGGATATTTGCTTTAAAATTCAATAGGATAGTGGCAGTATAATGTCCTTATAAGTGGATATCAGGCCCTTGTAGAGCAAAACTTTGTATTTTGGTCTAGACAACCAAAAATGTTTTGGTTTTTTGTTTTTTTTTGTTTTTTTTTAACTATAGAGCATTATGTTTTCAGGTTGTCTACCAACATGAAATGAAAAGTGATTAAAATAAATAAATAAACGTCACTGTGGCCTAAACAAACATACACACAGTTCAGAAATAATAAGCTAATACACAAGTCACTCAAGATCGGTTCATGAAGCGATTAAAAGTTATAACAGAGATGATACAAGGAGGGGACGTCATAAATAAATCTAAGATTTAAGATTCTTGACTCAGGATTTAAGAATCCTAAATTAAAAACTATGGAAAATGCAGTAACAACATAGGTGGTGGTACTTTTAGACTTTTGATCAGATTTAACTGGTGTTTTGTTCTCTTATCAATTGTGACACAGAGACCAGTACACATTTTAATGCAAAGAATATGATTGTATGCAGGTTTTACACTCTGGTGACAATTTATAGTTAGTTTAGATAAATCTTCAAAATTACTTTGCAAGTAATAGGTGTTTATGATCACTTCTCGGTTGTATGACTTGCTTGTAGAAGGACAATGTCTAAAATCAGTGACTTATTCACGATGTCCTATAGATAATTCTTTGTAGTGGACTATAAAATGAGCTCAAGGTTATCATTAACCAAACTGAAACAAAAACTAGGTGAGGCAGATGATTTTAGATGACTGAAACAGAAATAAAAACAAGACTTTAAAAAAAAAGAACACGCTGAAATATTTTGTAAAGGGGCAAAACTAACTAAAAGAAAATATTCAGCAAATGTGGATTTGGGATATTTACATGATAAACATCCCGAATCCCAAATTATAATATTTTTAAAAAAGGTTAAAACCAATGTTTAAAATAACAAAAACGAATCTAAAACTGGACATTTTCAAATGATAAATGTAAACTGAAAGGTGCAAACCCACACTGGAAGCCGACTGAAACTAAACTAAAGTGAAAATGATGAATCAAAATCAGCATGTTGTATCCACTGTGTCCTATATTTTCTGTTGATACATAAAACGTACGCTGTGCCAGTTTATGTTATGATGTACCGCTCTCATTCCTCTCGTCTGTCCATCACTTTTTCTTCAGAGCAGCGCATCATGGTATAAAAAGCCTGGGTGGTGTAGTGGGTGCACGCCACTTTTTGCAGGGCATTGTGGGATGTTTTGCACTATATGAGCTATATTAATACTCTGTGCACTGAGTAGCCAAGATCCTCGGCAGCTTCTACAGCTGCACTGTGGAGAGCACACTGACTAGCTGCATC